TTGGCATTATAGTTTAGCGTTTTATATATGTATAATACACATGAGAGAATGTGCAGTGACTTAATGTTTAACATATTCAGAGATTTGAGTAGGGGTACCGAGTGATGTCTGGAGCCAGAGTTGGATATTGTCCTAATAGCAGCTTTGTGTTGAGTAATTAGAGGACGTAAGTGATTTTGGGTAGTAGAGCCCCAAGCACAAATACCATAGTTGAGATATGGATAGATAACGGAGTAATAGAGAGTCACCAGGGCAGGGTGTGGTACATAATATCTGATCTTAGAAAGAATGCCCACAGTTTTTGAAACTTTTTTTGATATATTTAGAATGTGTCCCTGGAAATTCAGCTTGTGGTCAATGAGAATGCCAAGGAATTTGCCATCTAATTTGTTACAAATTTGGGTATTGTTTATTTTGAGATTTATTTGATTAGAGGATTTATTGCCAAACAGAATATAGAAAGTTTTGTCAATGTTAAGGGTGAGTTTGTTGGCAGTTAGCCAAAGATGGACTTTATTTAGCTCAGTATTTACTGTGGCATTTAGAGCAAGGGGGTTAGGACTGGAGTAAATGAAGGTTGTGTCGTCAGCAAATAGAATTGGTTTGAGGTGTTGGGAGGCATTTGGAAGGTCATTAATGTAGATGAGAAAGGAGAGGGCCAAGTATGCTGCCCTGAGGAACACCAATGTTGATGGGTAGGGTGGGAGAAATTGTATTATTCACAGAAACATATTGGAGCCTGTCAGTAAGGTAGGATTTGAGGTATTGCAGGGAGTGTCCTCTGACTCCATAATGATGTAATTTAAGAAGAAGGTTTTGGTGGTTGACAGTGTCAAAAGCTTTACGCAGGTCCACAAATAACCCAACAGGGAACTCATTTTTATCAAGAGCTGTATGAATCGAGTTAAGCATACTAATAAGTGCATCGTTAGTGCTTTTTTTGGGTCTGAAGCCATATTGGCAAGGGCTAAGTATATTTTGTGTGGCTAGATATGAGTAAAGCTGCTTATAGATTAGTTTTTCAAAAATTTTTGATAAGTTTGGCAGGATTGATATAGGTCTGTAGTTGTTAACATCTGTGAGATCACCACATTTGTGGACAGGCGTTAGTCTCGCTTTTTTTAGAATATCTGGAAAGCTACCTTATAGGGGCTACCTTCTACCTTATAGAGCTACCTTATAGGGGACCATTCAAGTAAGTAATTATCAAAGAAGGCACCAAGCCGGGAAGGCTATGTAGCACCATAAAACGTGCGGAATAATCAGAGGGCGCTAAGTATCACTGAGGATGCCAATAAGAGAACAGAAACGCATAAGGCGAACGATATCAAAAGTATCCGATTCAGCAAGAATTCTATCGAGGGACAAGTGACCGCAAGGGACAGTCGGGAAGCAAGACATACATTCGTCCTGAAAGTCAGAACATTCAACAAGGATATGCACAACTGTAAGAGGAACAATGCAGTTAGGACAATAAGGAGCAGGGCAGCGTTCCATTAAGTGTCCGTGAGTTAAACACGTATGGCCATTACACAGCCTTGTCAGAGCTGTTTCCCACTGCCGTTACGGTGGTAGGAGGAAGGCCACAGGGACACACTGCTCTTAAGAGTACACAGTTTGTTACTAGTAACAGAAGACCAACAACCCTGCCAACGGGCAAGGATGGAGGAATGAATAACTGGGTAAAAGTCAGAATAAGGAATACCTTTACGGGAGATGGGACAAGTGCGGATAGCTTCCTTAGTGGCAGCGTCCGCATGCTCATTTAAAGAAACACCAATATGGCTCGGAACCCAGCAAAACTCTACTGTCTTAAATCTACTGGCGATAAAAACAGCCAAATGTTAAATCTCGACGACCACCGGATGGACTGGATTAAAGGACTCCTGAGCCATGAGGGCGCTGCAAGAGTCAACTACAACTCAAGGCAGCTTATATTTATATCAACATAAATAGATGCTGCCTTAAGTAGGCCTATTGGACCATGTGAGGGTGCTCCTATTTATATCTATAAAGAGGAGGTGCCTCGTATAGGTCAATACATGTAATACTCAGGGAACAATACAACAGTTTAAATCGTATTATGATAGCCACATTACCCTGTGAATCAACATAGGATGATAGCCTCTCTTTAAGGGTTAAAGGCATGTCTACCCCACACTACCTGCTTGTTCCCAAGTGATTCTCCATGGTCTGTGACCTATCGTCTTTAGATTTTGTCTTTCCACTGGACCTCTTGCTTCTCTCTTCTGAACCAACCAACCATAATTCAGTCACACAAATCTCTGGGTTCCCGCTGGATCTAGCATGACTAGTTTATTTGTTTCTTGAAGCTTTTTCCTATACCTTGCCGTAAATCTTAAGCCTTGGGTCATATGTAAGACTGGCTACTACGTATCAAAACCATTACTTGTAACATTTCTGTTTTGTAGCTTCCCGACCTCTCAACAGTTGATTAATATTTAATTAATCCATACCTTATGTAACGACTGGTGAGAGTCCGGTCTTTCCAATGATACCTCCTCATTATGTTTCATTTGAATTTAAGACTTGTTAATTTTATACTCGTGTGCTTGTGAAACCTAATGAAGAGCTCCATTCTAGAGATTGTACCATCACATTTTTTTTTTCTAATTTTACTGGTTAATAACCCTACTTTTGGTCTCACTTCAGACATGATGTTTATGTACGTGGTAATGGTGGCAGCTGTAGTCAGCATATGGGGCCTGCGCCATGGAGATGTTACTCACCATGTATACCCAACTATGGTTTTTGTGGGCATGACTCTACTACTAGCTGAAGGCCGAGAATGGTTTAGCAAGATCTTTTTCTGGTCAATTGTATCAGTCTTGTATGTGTTTATCCTTTCAGCAAATACTCTGCTCCTGACACGTTATGGCATTTGGTCATTCTGTAAGTTTTTAATTATGTTATTTTTCACTTTTCAATATAAACACAGTATGCAAGGTAAAAATTAAAAAAAAATGGATTAACTAACCTTGGCATATACCCTCAGTAATTTCAAATCATTCATTATTGTGATAAGTTTTTGCAAGTTTGCAGACCAGCAACCCATCCTCCTGTTTAGATGGTACTTTTTGTAACCATATGCACCATAATACAGTGACACCTTGGCTTATGAATGCCCCTCTTTACGAATTTTTCGGGTTATGAGCCCAATTTCTTCGTAAAATCCGAATCGGGTTACAAACTTTGCCTCGGGTAACATAGTTTGTTGATACGCGTATGGCTGACCTAGCGTGTGGTGGCACGGCGGCCACGCCTCAGTTTACCAGTGCCTCCTGCCTAGTGACAATCGCGATTGAATTCTTTGTAAAGAATTTCAATGTTTTTTGGATTTTTGAGTATTTGAACATAAAAGTAATTATTATATATCTTGCCATGGGTCCCAAGAAAGCCAATGGTAAGGTTCAATCCAAGAAAATAGTTGTGAGTAGAGGCCTTCCTCGTTAAGAAAATGTGTGAAGTATGGAAAAAACGGCAAAGTTTTGTTGAAAAAACTCACCCAGATAAAGCTGTAGCAGGCCGTTTCATTGACCTTTTAAATGACAATATGTTGTCTCACCACAGACAAGAGTTAAAATGTAGGGAAAAACAAGTACAGTGGTACCTCGCATAACGATTGCCCCAAAAGACGAATATTTTGGGTAACGAACGGCCCGATAGGCGTCAAATTGTCCCGTATGACGAACGCTGGTTTGAGTAACGTCAACACCACATGGTGGGGTCGCGCTGCTTCTTGCACATTCTTAGACGCCTCCGACGATGCACAAATTATGTTGTTCTTGTTTAAAGATGCTAATGATGCTGGGATATAAAAGGGTGACTGCTGAGATGTTGCAAAGCATTGACGTTTTTGTAGGAAAAAAGAAATGAAATGTCTGATATACAACAAATGTCAAAAAGGTTCGATCGGTTTTCGGCAGGTAGGCTGCTCCATTATAACAATCTTTCTTTGTTTCAAATGTGTTCCATTTGTTTTTTATTTGTCATTTACATCTCAATAATGGAGAAGCCTACCTTACATACACTGAATAAACCATTATGACATTTTCCTTTCTTCAAATGTGTTCAATATTTATTTTTCATTTGTCTTATAGCAAAAGGTTTGTTCGGTGGTCGGCAGGTAGGCTGCTCCATGTTTCTTACATACAAAAAACGTAAATAATAAAAAAAATGAAGAATTTTGAAAATCAGTACAAATGTCAAAAAGGTTCGTTCGGTGGTCTACAGGTCGGCTGCTCCATGTTTCTTAAAAAAAAAAAAAAAAAAAACGAAAAATAAAAGAACTGTTGAAACAATTTGAAAAATGGACAAATGTCATAAAGGTTCGTTCAGTGTTTGTCGGGTAGGCTGCTCCATTATTGAGACGTAAGTGACAAATACAAAACAAATGGAACACATTTGAAACAAAGAAAGATTGTCATCATGGAGCAGCCTACCCAACAAACACTGAACGAACCTTTTGCTATAACGAATATGAAAGACAAGGGCTGCTGGCTGGGTTAGTACTGCGTGAGCAACCATTTGTGGCACACGTGCCTCTGGCTCTCAAACACCTGTCCCGCACGGTGTTGAAAGACTGTGCTCAGTCGGTGCAATTCAGACCCTATTGTTTGAAGAACATAAGGGTCATAACATTGGTGAAGCTAGGCGCAATAAGGGCTTAACACAACGGTCGGATGCCAGTGATACAGCACCTATGAGGATGATACAGCGAGCGTATCCAGGTGTAGCTCTGAGCCCCACCCTTGCCATCTCTAATGTATATAGATGATACATAGATGAATCGTTTTCTGCGTTCAGTGATGATGCATCTGATACAAGTAGCATAAATGAAGTGTTAGCAGCTTCCATGGTGGTGGTGTTCATTGATATTTTCAAGAATACCTGAATCTCTTCCTGACTGATGGACACTCTTTGAGGCTAGCTGAATCTCTTCCTGACTGATGGACACTCTTTGAGGCTAGCTGAATCTCTTCCTGACTGATGGACACTCTTTGAGGCTAGCTGAATCTCTTCCTGTGTGGGACCTTACATAGCGATCTTTTCAAGACTACCTTACAAATTGAGCTTTTCCTATAATCGTTTCAATACTACTTTATGCTTTACAAGCTTGGCTACATACCACCTACAAGTACTAAAGCCAAGGGTGCACGCGAGTGCGTTATTTGCAAGCACACAAAACGATGAAACAGGAAACGAAAATCTATCTGTAGCTGGTGTAAGGAGAGCAAAGCCACGCTGTGTACCATGGACTACTTCGTTGACTATTACACACCTCCAAAGTACTGAGTGTGTAATACAGTGTGTTACTGTGTAAATAGTGTGTGAAACTGTACATATTGTAATTTTAGTGAATTTTTACCACGTAATATTGTGACAATAAACATTTATTGTGGACACATTACTGACACATGTATCACAGTTTCATGGAAAATTATGAACATTCTACTGTATACATATTGTAAAGGTCACAAATATGCATCATATACTATAAAAGAAACAAATAAAACCGCATTGGAAATGCATAGAAAAAATATTTGAAAATATATTTGTGGCAACACGCGGTGCTTGAATGGCCTGCGCGACCATGTCCGGGAGCTTCACACACGGGCGACCAGCCCCTGATGACGTCACAGCGCACCTTGTCCACGCCCTCACAACCAAAGTAAGTGGAATTTGGTAATTATTTTTACATAGACATGTTCAGGGACGGTAATTTATCATTTTACAAAGAAAAATTATATTTTGGGGAACATTTGATGTCATGCACACTGGGGATATTTCACAATAAACACAGTGCATCACACTGGTTACATGGGGGACACTCGTTTTGTATGACGTCCGTTTCACATGACGAACATGGAACGGATTAAATTCGTTATGCGAGGTACCACTGTATCTTCAGACAAATTCTTAGTAAGACAAGAAATCAGTGAGCCACAACCAGATCCTAGTGGTACTCCAGCATAACGTAGGAGAGAGAGTACCCCAGAGAAGTCATCACTGCCTGATATTATAATGTAAGGGGGACTCCCCTCCAAATACTAACACCTCTTCTCCTTCCCCTTTCCTCACTGACTATCGTTTGCCAACAAGAGTAATCAATAATGGTAAGCAATAACTTGTACATGCTTTAGTACTAAAGATTTGGGTGAATTAGGTATAAAATTTACTTTGAAAGTAATATTTTTGGGAGTGTGGAACGGATTCATTCAATATACATTATTTCTTATGGTAAAATTCGCATCGGTTTACGAATTTCGGGTTACAAACTGTCTGGGAATGGATTAAATTTGTAAACTGAGGTACCACTATACTAAGTACTAAACAAATACCGAATAGATAGTAGAATTTGGTGCTATTCACTTTATAGAGTCCAAAAAAAATGAAGGCAAAAACATTTATTTATTCCTAGGCCTAGTATAGCCCACATATGTAGGCATCAGATATCGTGTATTAGGCCTAGGAAAGTTAGGTTAGGTTAGTTTATCTTTACAATATAAATAGAAAATCTTGTCTTGTTTATCCAAATTCAATAGTGCCGATTTTTACCGTCTACTTGTGTTGTACGTAGATGTATATATGTACCAGAGGTCCGCATCATTACTATAAGTACTACCGAAATAGGAGGATAGGGTGAGACCAGTGTGTCATTCCTATCAAGAATGTTGTTTTTTAATACTTATAAATTACTTGAAATGCATAAACATTGAATTTCAAAAATAATTTTAAGCACAGTATTTTTTTCTTTAGTCACAGGATGATTATTCAAATACATAATTTAAAATAAATTGAAAATAGGTTTACAATGTGACTACCATACATGTGAATATTAGTTAAACTTATCATAAACATCAAATTTAAATATAGTTTAAGGTAATACAGTATTTTCTTTCTAATCATAGACTTTGAGTACTTGTTCTTTTTCTTTCAGCACCGTACAAAATGTACCACGTGTGCAAGGGTTGGAAGCCTGTCAAAGATAAATTGAAAGCAATCTTGAGAGATCAGGACCGCACCTCACGACCCTTGCAAATAATTAGGATTTTTTCTGGATGTTTGACAAATGTGATATTCATCGCATATGGATTTGTAATGGACCCAAATGTGTACACATATATCCTCATTGTCTGCCTCTCCAACATGGGACTCTATTTTCTGAATTATATGATGACAAAGGTATTATTTTAATTTATGTAATGCAGTTATATTCAGTGGAGTACCTTTGACCTTATCTGGTTGGGGCAAGCAGTGTGTAGATCAATGAACTGGTCAGTTTATAAACAAAGATTCAAATTCATAGTTTTATTTTAAAGTATCAGAATGGCAGCCTTATGTGGCATAACTTTACCAATTAGGCTCTTATATTTACCCAGTATAATCTTTATGTTACGTAATTATCAGGCATTTACAGACTATTTATATAGTATTCAAAATTGTTGGAATTGACATCGATTGAGAAGCCTGAACTATCTTTAAAGCTAGTCACCCCTCCCAAAATATGGAAAACTATAAATATTGGTATTATCAAAATAAAAAAAATAATGTAGTAATATTAAAATACATTGGAAGGGATGAATCATTTTTTGCACATATGAAGTGCCATTTCATAAATGTTGTTTTTGAAGCCAGTCTATGCAACCCCCAAGGAGCAAAAGCTGAGGCTCAACCAGCCACAATATAGAAAACATGCTTTTTCACTCATAATGTAATAAATCAATGTAATCACCTACCAACCAAAGCTGTAAATGTAGCTTGAAACAAATACCTTCAGGAATAATCGGAGACCTTTTCACAAGCTTCCGATTTCCTGTTTTTGTTAAGGGCACTAGAAATAGTGGCCCTCAAGTGAACAACAACCACCATCAAAATTACATGAACAATAACCACGGTCTCCACCATAACCACAATCACCAACTCTACAGCCATCACCAGAATCTCCCTCTGTAACCAAAACAATGACCACTAAAAGTAATTTCTGCCCAACCTCCATTACTTATTAAATACTCTGTGCTTTTTATACCTCTCTGAACTCTCAACACCTTGTAATTATTATACCATCCCTGTAATCTTTATACTACAAAAAAACAAAAAAATACAAATACAAATATTTATTCAGGTAAAGTACATACATACAAGGTGAAATACAAAAGTTGATGGATTCATAGATAGAGCTAGTACATACAATGCCTAAAGCCACTATTACGCAAAGCATTTCGGGCAGGAAAAACACTAAGACTAACACTTAATTTATACTTTAATCTAAGTTAGTGTTGTGAAAAAATCAGAAAAAAAAGGGGGGGGGATTTATTTTTGCAGAAAAAAGCAAAAATACAATTTGGTCAACAAACAGCATTGTTAAAAATCGTAGACATGGTTTGACATTTCGGGGTGAGGTAGGTTACATAGAGTTAATTAGGTGGTACTTAGTTTTTATCTTAAACTGGTTGGGAGAGGTACAGTATTTAACATAATTGGGAAGGTCATTCCACATTCGAGGTCCCTTGATTTGTAAAGCATTTCTTGTTTGACTCAAGTCGTACTCTTGGAATATCAAATAGGTATTTGTTTTTGGTATGGTGCTCATGGGATCTGTTACAACCTTCTAGGAAGCTTTTAAGGTCAGGATTGACATTACAGTTCAGCGTTTTATATATATATAGAATACACACGAGAGGATGTGCAGTGACTTAATATCTAACATATTCAGAGATTTGAGTAAGGGTACCGAGTGATGTCTGGGGCCAGAGTTAGAGATTGTCCTAATAGCAGCTTTGTGTTGGGTAATTAGAGGACATAAATGATTTTGGGTAGTAGAACCCCAAGCACAAATACCATAGTTGAGATAAGGATAGATGAGAGAGTAATAGAGTGTCACCAAGGCAGGGCGAGGTACATAATATCTGATCTTAGAAAGAATGCCAACAGTTTTTGAAACTTTTTTTGATATATTTAGAATGTATCCCTGGAAATTCAGCTAGCGGTCAATGAGAACGCCAAGGAATTTGCCATCTACTTTGTTACAAATTTGGGTATTGTTAATCCTGAGATTTATTTGATTTGAGGATTTATTGCCAAACAAAATATAGAAAGTTTTGTCAATATTGAGAGTGAGTTTGTTGGCAGTGAGCCAGTGATGGACTTTATTTAGCTTTATTTACTATTTCTGTACTCATTGGATTCTACTTTACTTGTAACTGATATAGTCATTATACCGGATAAAATATTTGTTAGTTTCTCCTTAATATGCGTGTGGAGGCAAAGACATGTGCAACATGAAAGATACATCCCTCCATCTCAAATCCCATTCAGTCACTACTGTCAGCTTGCAATTTACTTGTGAATTAACCCCTGCACTGCGCACCTGTTTTTGGCAAAAAACTTCATAGTGCAATTGTTAAGGACATATTTTTGTTGTTTTTATAAATGTTCAGGTAAAGTTAATGTCAAAATGTTTCAAAACTCAACCATTTTCATTTTAAAACACAAAGAGTGATGAAAACATTAAAAAAACATTAAAATATAGCCTAATTAAAAAAAATGGACAACTCTCAAAACAGCATTTGTCGTTTTGTGCAGTGCAGTGGTAGTCTCTATTATTTTATGTGGTACAGTTTATAAGCATCTTTAGTTAATGAAGGTTACCTTGAGATAGTTTCGGGGCTTAGCATCCCCGCGGCCCGGTCCTCGACCAGGCCTCCTGGTCAAGGTTATTTACAGGTACTCCACTGTATATCTTACATCATATTGTCCAGAGTAGTTTAAGCATGTATTGTTGTCTTGCTTTTCTATATATATATATATTTATTTATTTATTTTAAAGTAAACAATTTCCTTCTTCATTATCATATGACAATTATACAGCATTGTCTTAAACTTAATTTATTATAATCAAAGAATCAATATTAATTAATCATTAAATAATCATGTTACAAGACTATGAGCAACAAATAATTTAATTTTAACTTAATTTCCTAAGCAGTTAGCTGATCCTAATTCATATGAAATATAACTTCTAATTGCATTAAATTATTAACTTTTCATGTATTTATTTTTTTAAGTATATTCTGAAGAGAAGCAACTGATATTATTTCATATGATTTGTACAGAACAATAAGTAAATGAGCCATTTATGAATACAACAGTGAGTGATTGATCATTTCATAAAAATCACATACTGCAGTCTACTCTTCATGATTATAGGTTATTAGAATTTATCAAGGTTTCTTAGTGGCATCCAGTATTTTATCCTGTGTAAAAAAATAGTATGTTGAGCATAGTGAAGAACTGAGCTGGTCGCTCAAATCTTCCTTTGAGCCAGGAATAATTGGGACAAACGTGCCCGTACACTAGGCTTTCTTGACCTGTCCCTGAAGCATGATAAGGATCTTTGCCAGTTGTCTTATCAGGGACAAAGGTACAAAGGTTGGAGAAGGGAGGCAACAATGGTGAATCTAATTCAAGGCATCACTAAGGGACCAGCCTGCCGAGAAAAATCAGTGAGCAAACCTCTGAACCCTTCAAATTCTAATTAGCAACATAAGATTCTCTTAATTAGTGTGAAATGATTTTTAACCACTGTGCTGCTCATGCTCCAAATATGGAACCTACCCCCCCCCCATGCACAGAAATAAATTCTTTGCAAAAAAAAAATTCTCTTCTAATATTGTTAAAATACAGTCTGATCACAGGAAACTACAAAAAAAAAAAAAAATATTGTTTTTTATTTAAAAAATAAAGTGTTTCATCACTTTAGCCGTGATGGAACTGGGAAGTTGAGCAAATTATGGGCGCTGAGCGATGGAGCACTCGGGGTCAGTCAGCTCTGCCACCTTGTGGCGTGGCAGTTTCCGCGAATATAATGTTTCACAATTATTTTGATGTTTCTTATTCGTTTCTTCTCTATTTTTTTTGCTGTAATATTCAAAAGTGTATAATTTGTGGAATTTATGTAGTTCAAAGTGTGGAACATCATTATACTCAAAATTATGAGGCTCATATATGTGACATATGTATTATATTCTACGATCAATCGAACAGTGTTTTTGCTGTTATTACACTATATACACACATTGTATATACCCAGCTACATATGTGTTCACCATAATGAACCATTAAGTTGGTATGGTGAGCCCAAAAAACCAGAGTGAGCTGCCACACCCTGCCAGCCCCTCCCTCACTCCTCCAACACCTTACGTGCCAACATTCCTCCTCCCACCATACTGTTATTGTTTTTATTACACTATTTACACACGTTTACATGTTTTATTCACCATAACTATACAACTAAGCTGGTATTGTGTCCAAACAGCAAAGTGGCCACCATACACTACATGACAAGTTACACAGCAGACAACGATGTTACGAGTATGACACCACCTCCCGCACCAAAATGGCTCCTCCCAACATATTCCTGTTGCTATTACACTATATACACACTTTATATATAAGTACAGTGGCACCTCAACTTATGATTGCCCCGACTTACGATAATTTCAAGTTAAGATGTAAATTTGATCGAAAAATGGGACTTGATAGTGTCGTTGACTAACGATATTTGTTGGTACTGTACACGTTTTTGTCAACCAAGCGCGTGGTTCTCGGTCTCGAGGGCCGTCTTGCCTCAGTTTACTAGAGTTGCCCGCTTAGTGATGATCACGCCTATAAGAAATTCCGTTTTTGTGGTGATTTTTTGTTTTTTGAACATGAAACTGATTATTATATCCATGGGTCCCAAGGAAGTCAGTGGAAAATAGTTTAATAGAAAAGAAAATAGTTTTGAGTAGAGAATGTCCCTTCCTCATTCAGAAAATGTGTTTAGTATGGGAAGAACTGCAAAGTTTTGTTGAAAAAACTCACCCAGACAAAGCTGTAGCAGACCATTGCATTGACCTTTAAATGACAATGTGATGTCTTACTACAGACAAGTGTTAAAATATAGGGCTATAGGTTAAAATATAAAGTTTGTCTTGGAAAGGCTGCAGGATCCAAGTAAGTTCAGTAGAACTTCTGGTGTCAACTCTTTTACCATGTCGTAGCTCAGTTGATTAAGGCAGCGTCTGGGATGCTCTCGAACGTAGGTTCGAATCCTCGTCGCGGCTCTTGTACGATATGTCTCTGGGAACGGATTACTATAGTAAATTGCGGCTCACTGTATCTTCATTTGTGTTCAGCGTAGTGAACCACTAAGCTAGTATGGGGAGCCCAAACAAGAATGGCTGCCACACACACAGTGACACTACCTCGATTCCCTCCTTCCTCACCAAAATTCCTCCTCCCACAAGACAATGCACAGCACTAATTATCACCACAATCCTGGTCACTAAATTCTGTAAATGAATAATTGACGACAAATGTATTTTGTAAAGGAACACAAGTCGTTTGAAGATTCCTAGATGGACGAAATAATGCTGTGGTGCTGTGGCTAGTGCTGTGAACATCTTGAACAGCACTGATTCACTGATATTTGAACAGTGTACACAGTCATTATCACACTCAGGCTCTTCTGTTATACTGTCATGGCTAAATAATACCAGTTACATATATATTTTGACATTATTAGGCGATGCTGTGGTCATAAGCTGAACAGCAGTGTTGTGAGCTCATGCTGTGTGTGCCAGCCTTGGTTGCTCACTCAATACTGAAGCTCTCACATCCGGGATTGTTGCCCCACAATTTAAAAAAAAAATGGCGTCTGTTTACATGAGCCTTGAGGAAGCTGATGTGAACCCCATGTAGCAGTGGGAGTCTTGAATCATATGCTCTACCTATAAGATCCCTGAGGCGCATTGCGCACCACCCGTCAAGCGCCTACAGGCCCGTTGCACAGTGCAGTGTTTTAAGTGCTGAAACTATTGGATTTGCAGCACATCATTTGGGGTGACAACATTCAAAGAGTTTCTGGTTTCTTATGTTTATTTAATATAGTCTTGGTTACAGTTGTTGGATGTTGGAAGGGTAATGAAATGTTATGGTAGCCGAGACAAGGATGCTTGTGCAAGTCCTGGAGCCGAAAGCAGAGAGCTTGAGCAGGGCTAGGGGTAGAGAGCTCAAATGTGGGGCAAGAGCAGGTAGCTTGAGTATGGCCGGAATCTGGCTGTTCGCTCTGTGGCGAAGCTGTTATGTCTTGTGAGAGAGTTGGAATTAGATGCATCGAGTGTTACATTGTTGCTGATGATTGTCGATGGTGTTGGAGAAAATTTGCAGTACAATATATTCAGTGTATTTGTCACTCAACCACTATTAAAGTTAGACTGACGACTCTGCATTCTTTATGGCTTATATTCCAAGCTTCACTTGATTTGGCAAAGCAAGTTTGGCAAGTGACCAACAAGTTTCCCATCATTATCCTACATGATGGGAAACTTGTGGGTCACCTTCGGTTTTTCCCAAGTGATTTGTGGAACGTTAAGAACATGTATCAGACGTAATTAGAGATGTCATTAATAGAGAATATGATTGTGTCATTAGTGATTAATTAACACTTTAGTTAATGTAGTATGCTTCAGATTCAATATCTGCTATTTTTCTTGACATTATAAGAATGTATATTTACTAATCAGAATTAAGTTAGCTAAGTTTAAAGAACTTTAATCAATTAAGTCTAGTTTGTATATTTTGACTTAAAATATTTGTATATCCACTTATTTTATATTTATTATGTTCAAGATGTACAAACACGATATAACCACTTATATGTTGCTTTACTTCCACAGAGAATCTGTTATAGGGAGAAAGGAACAAGACTAGCATGGTTCTCTCTCTTTATGTCAACATGGCTGTGGATTGTTGCACTGGTAGTTTTCTCCATACACAGCAGTAATTCTGAGGTTTGTTCATTTTCCTGTAAAATAAATAAATATAAATACAGTGGCGGCTCTATCTACAAGCACTTCGAGTAACGAGCAAACCACTCACAGCAAATTTTTCTCTATTGACGAGCTTCACCTCTATTAACGAGCAAAACCACATGGTGCTTCCTGGCATCAGAGGATGTAATGCTCGAGTTAAGAGTACAGTAATGTTATCTATTTTAATTAGTTTTATGAACATATTTGCATGCATACGGTTCGTTGTTGTTTTGGAACCATGTTTCAAAAATGCTGTATTTAACAGGTGTCTCCTTCTTCATCAAGAGCCATGAACAGTCCCTGTGATTTCCTCATCGTCTATGACACGCACGACATATGGCATTTTACATCTGCACTTGCTCTCTTTTTTTTCTTTGTGGTAAGTAATGAAACTATATTTGAAATTTGTTGATGAGGTAGGTAGCAGTTTAAAGGTTCAACTGCATTTTGAGTAATATCTTAAAAAAAATTTACATACAGTATAATTATAATTATAATAATAATAATTTATTTACAAGAAGGTACAATGGGTTGGTGAGATTACATAAGATTGGTATTTTTACATTCTTTCAAAGCCACTAACATGCATAACGTTTCGGGCAGGTCCTTAATCTAACATATCAGGTGAGATGAAAATGTACATTGTAGCAAAGTTTTATATCAACAAATAACTACAATATAAATTGACAGAGGTGATTACACTGGTAAAGATATGTGTCTTAAGTACTATTGGGGAAGTGGGTACAAGATACAGTGTGAGTTTGAAGCACAAGATAGGAAACTATAAGGATAAAATTAGGTACTTTTTGGTTTTACTGTACTTTTGAATAGGACATAGGTTGGATAATTGTTTAATTAGTCAGGGAGTGAGTTCCAAAAGATTGGGTCCTTTTATTTGCATGGAGTGTTTGTACAGATTTAGTTTGATTCTGGGGATATCAAAGATATTTATTTCTGGTTTGGTTAGGTTACACCTATGGGTTCTATTACACCTATCAAGGAAAAGTTTCAGATCTAGATTAGCATTTAGGAACAAGGTTTCCTAAATGTAAATAGCACATGAGAATGTGTGGAGTGAGTGTATGTTTAGCATGTTAAGGGACTTAATCAAAGGGGCGGTGTGTTGTCTGAAGACAGTTTGTTATAGTTCTGGTAGCAGATTTTTGCCGAGTGATGATAGGCTTGAGGTAATTTGCAGCGATTGAACCCCATGCACAGATACCGTATGTAAGATAGGGATAGATTAGTGCATAGTATAATGAGAGGAGAGCAGTGGGGGAACATATCTGATTTTAGAGAGTATACCAACCATTTTTGAGACTCATTCTCTTGTCAATGTATAGGCCAAGGAACTTTCCCTCATTTTTAAGGCTAATGTTAGCATTATCTATCTGAAGTTGAATTTTATTTGACGTTTTACTACCAAATAAAATGTTGTAGGTCTTATCTATGTTAAGTGTGACTTTGTTTACAGGTTGACATCCATGAGCAGACTTTTTTTTTTTTTTTTTAACTCATTAGTATTGACAATATTGTTTAGTGTGTGAGTGTCAGCAAATAGTATAGGTTTAAGAATATTAGAAACATTTGGCAAATCATTGATGTATACAAAAAATAGGAGAGGTCCTAAGATGCTGCCCTGTGGCACTCCTACTGTTAATGATAGAGTGGGAGAGGTTGTGTTATTGATGGCTACATATTGGTGTCTGTCACCGAGATATTTGTCTACTTCACATTATTTTATTATAGGCTTTATCCTGTTTAACTTTCTAGTCAATTTATTAGGATCATGCTGTTAAAGGGGGACAAAATTGTATAAATTAAATTGGTATTTTAAAGTGTTACTATTTCTGTTATATTCTAGCCATAAGCTTTGACAATATCCAGGGCAAAGTGAGTTGGAACGGAGATTATTAAATATAAAAGGAAAGTCTCTCCAAGACTAATTGGTATATAGGTGAATGCGGCATCTGATTCATCTCTAATGCCTAATTTCTCATTCTTCATATCTTATTTCTATGCCTTACATATGTTCTCTATCATTGTTTTTACATTTGCAGGGCTTGCTCACCTTGGATGATGATTTGTGCACCACACAATCGAAATGTATTCATGTCTTTTAGTTGTGTGTGTTTGGCACAGATGGTAATACATATTAGAATTTGATATTCTTTTAGTGTAGCATTTGAACAAAATACATTTTTTTTTTAACAAGTCAGATACAAAAAGAAGTTGTATTTTTTGGTTGTATGAAGAATTTATGTAACAAGAAAATTATTTCAATGACAGTCAAAAATACAATGTCAGATATACTTTTAATTATTGCATCATATTTGGTGAAGCTAATATTATATTTTTGAGCAGTGCTCTGTTTACATAATTAATAGTTGCTTTTATATCATAAAAGATTAAGTGTAACAGTAGATGTTTTAGCTTTCCATTCCTATCAGTACTTTCCCCACAGCACTGATCTGTAATGCCATGACTGGCCGTCCTGTCAGGTGGGGATGTTGGATGAACCTGTAGCTGGTTTTTTTATCTACACTGTGTGGTCTTTCATACATAATAGGGTAGCAGCATATTGTTGTATATACCTAAGCTTGTCAAACAAAAAAGACATTATTTGAGAGGAATCTTATAGAAACTGATAAAAATAATTATAATATAATATTTCCAAGATTCAATGCTTAGCTCTTATGAAAATCATAAAGTTATTATTTAGTCAAAGTTAATTTATTTTTTTATTGAGGCAGGGATTTTCTCGCCTGATTCCATGTATGACTAACCATCCTGTGAGATGGGAATATTAGATGAACTTATAGCTAGTTTTTTATCTACACAGTGTAATCTTTCATAGAGAATAGGGTAGCAGCATATTGCTGTATATACCTAAGTTTGTTAATAAAAAAAAATAAAAATGTACCTACATCTAAGCTGCATGCACCTCAACCATGTGGCTGGGGTAGAACTTACCTGTAGGCTACTATGTTTCTCTAGTTCTTGTCACAGACTGGCCTGGGATCACTCTACTTGATTATTGCCTGGTGTACAAGACTCATAATTTAGCCTGCAGAGCTACAGAGGCCTGGTTGCAGTGTTTGTTGTGTGTGTCCAACATAAAGGTATTTGAGATTCCATAAGACATTCTATAAGGGTAGTTGAGATTCTCAACAAGAGATTGTTTTTCATCCATAGTGTTATAAACCCATGGACCTACCTACCCACCAAAGAAGTAAAGGCCAAAACACTGCTGAATTTTAAAATCCAGCTTCAAAAAATCATCAGGACAAATGGGGGGACCCTTGATAAGCTGTTGACTTCCTGTCCTCGTCGAGGCCACTAGAGTGTTAGTAGCCCTCGGGTAAATATGTGAAGAAGCTGCATAGTAGTGATGAGAGAACCAGTAGGGCTGCTACTGCATCACCAGTAATGATGAGAGAAACAGGAAAATATGAAAAGTAAAATATTAACTATAGTAAGGGAACACAAATACTATTAAAAGATGTACAGGTTTCACTACAACTTTCCCTTTAAAAGAAGAGCCTAAAAAAATTCCTTACAATCTCATACGCAAGAATATAATGTACCTCTTAAAGTAAAATTATATATGCCTCATTATACAATTAAGTGCCTTGTCTCTTACATCTTTACTAAGTCAAACCCTAAGCACAGTATAGTGAATAACTATGCAGTACATTAATTTCTCACTAAATCTTGAGGCGTTCACCTCCTGGGGCTCGTGCTGCCCAAGCTCTGCTTTAGGAGGCTGGGATCGTTCTTGCCCTTGCTAGTGTGGATCTTCTCCGGCCCCGACCAGGGCGGTCTCCTAATTTGGAGTCGCTGTGCCTTTTACCAACCTCAAGGTAAACTCCGGAGCTGAAGCCACTAGGGCAGTTTGTTTTTGCCTTCAACCTCATTGTGACAGTTCTTGCAATTGCACTGGAACTAATTATATTGCCGTTTGCTCTTCCATTGGATGCTTTCGGTGCTGTGAGGGGGGGACCTGCTGCATGGTGACAGCTTCTCCCCCATATCAAACTACCCAGGCTTTGCGCCCTGGAGAGGCCACTCCAGACTGACAACCAGAGCACAATTCCATAGTCTCCTGAGACTGATGGATGCCTACTACTACTACATTAATTTCTAAATTTGACTTACCAGTAATAACTATAGTACTATTGATTACAGTATGTGTTCTATTTAACCATTTGTAGTATGTGTGTGTGTTTGAATGTACTGTATGATACATGATATAATTAATTATGCACTCATCATTTTTATGACATTCATTATACTGCTAGAAGCCACAACAAATTCCTAGTTTTTATAAAATCCAACAATTGAACAATTCACTTTATAATTTTTAACAATTAAATTCACATAAATATATACAGTACAGTGGAACCTTGGTTCTCATATGCCCCTGTTCTCGTATTTTTCGGCACTCATACTCAGTTTCTCAAAAAAATTCTATTCGGTACTCGTTGTTTGACTCGGTGCTCGGAGTTTATTCATAACGTTCGGGTCCACAGCGAGCGTGGCGCTTCAGTTTACCAGTGTCTCCTGCCTAGTGATTATCACAGTTGAATTCAATGTTATTGTTTTTGTGCTTTTTTATTTTCTGATCATACAAGTTCTTATTAAATATCATGCCATGGGTTCCAAGAAAGTCAGTGGTAATGTTCAACCTAAGAAAATAGTTGTAAGGATGACAATAGAGGAAAAACAAGAGATCATTCATAGTGAGATAATGTGATGTCTCACTCAGCGGTATGCCACCAGACTCGTCCCGGAACGGAGAGGTATCAACTATGAGGAAGGTTAAAGGAGCTGAAACTCACGTCCCTGGAAGACAGACGAGTAAGGGGGAGACATGATAACCACCTACAAAATTCTCAGGGAAATTGACAGGGTGGACAGAGACAAACTCTTTAGCACAGGTGGAACATGAACAAGGGGACACAGGTGGAAACTTAGTACCCAAATGAGCCAGAGACATTTGAAAGAATTTTTTCAGTGTCAGAGTAGTTAACAAATGGAATGCACTAAGAAGTGATGTGGTGGAGGCAGACTCCATACACAGTTTCAAATGCAGATATGATAGAGCCCAGTAGGCTCAGGAATCTGTACACCAGTTGATTGACAGTTGAGAGCCGGGACCAAAGAGCCAAAGCTCAGCCCCCACAAGCACAACTAGGTGAGTACTACAGACAAGTGTTAAAACATAGGGAAAAACAAGTGTTTATAGACAGATTCTTAGTAAGACAAGCAAGCAGTGAGCCACAACCAGGCCCTAGTGGTATTCCTGCAAAACATAAGAGAGAGAGTACCCCAGGAATGGCATCACTGCTGTTATAATAGAAGGGGACTCCCCCTTCCAAGCACTAACACCTCTCCTCCTCCCCCCTTCCTCACTGTCTTCCATACGCCAATAAGAGTCCTCAATAAAGGTAAGGTACTTAAGAGTATTATTCTGTATAAAATGTATTTTTTTAGTTAATACATTTGGGGGTGTGGAACGGATTAATTCAATTTACATTATTTCTTATGGGAAAATTTGTTTTGGTTTTCGTACCATTTCTGGGAATGGATTAACTACGAAAACTGAAGTACCCCTGTATGTTATACAATTTACAAGAATGCTAATATAATACACAATATAACTACTTATCTTAAATATACTACACCTTTTAAGTTCTCATGCTATGTGCCAGTTTCCCTTAATTAAAGTCAGCTGTGCGATGTAATACTCCTGATTAATCTTTGATACTTGCTGTAATATCCATACTAGCTAGTAATATTAACTGGCTCGTGTACCAGGTAATATACAAAATTTTCCTACTCTAGATTTTTCTACAGTTAACTTGCATGCCACAAAGGATTTCTAATTGCCTTAAGAGCTATTTTTTTTATTTTATTTTTTGAGATACTGTATATACAAAAGTTGTTACATTCTTGTACAGCCACTAGTACGCGTAGCGTTTCGGGCAGGTCCCTGGAGTACGATCCCCGCCGCGAAGAATTGTTGTTACAACCAAGTACCTATTTTACTGTTGAGTTAAACAGAGGCTACAGTTAAGGATTTGCACCCAGTAAATCCTCCCCGGCCAGGATATGAACCCATGACAAAGCGCTCGCGGAACGCCAGGCGAGTGTCTTACCACTACACCACGGAGACTGACTGACTATTCTTAAATAAGCATACATTTCTGTTATTCTGTAACCCCTCCTTTTAGCCTTATCATAAATAATGAACACCATCAGGTAGCATGTGAGCAATTTGCAAATTTAAAAGCTGTATAATAATTCATAAATCAAATATATATCATACATTACGATATGTACAAACTGATAATGGCATACATGTAATATTCTGAGAAAAGAATGTATTACTCGAACAAATTTATGTACAGTATTATGTATTATTAGTTATGTATGTATGGAATACAAATGTATGTATTAATGTATTACTCTATTTAAAAATATCAACATGTTCTCTGTTAAAAATAACTTTTTATATGGTAAAATATTAAAAACTTAAGAAAATTATAATGTCAATATTAATATTAGTGGGATGAATAGAGCAATTATTACATACTGGTCTTGTATAATTGGTTGCAAATCATGCATTATATCAAATAATTTTTTGTTTCAATTTATAGATAAAATTATTTTTTTTTTAGAGAAATGCAGAGCAAAAACTTAGAATCTAACAAGTACTAGGCTTGCAGTCTACTGCTTTGCTAAGAGAGACAAGGATTATATCACATGAATTCACTAATTCTACATGGATTGTGAAAGGAATACTTTAATTGCTACCACCATTCCCATTTTATATAATCCCCCCCCCTCACTCTGGTTCCAGTTCCCCTATTACCATTTACTTTGCTGGTTTTCACAATTTTGAGCTTTGGTTTCAAAAGGTGTAAATGAGATATTTGGGTGTAATTAAGAAACTAAGTTACTTTATTAATCATAAACCAAAGCATATACCAGCAAGATATGAAGATATGAAATATCTTGATATGAATAGATATGAAAAGATATGAAAAGCCCTTGTATTTAAATGTATTAGGAAAATTATTTGTCGAGCTTAACTCACAGGCACTTATTGGAGCGCTGCCCTGCTTTTATTATCCAAACTGCATTGTCCTTCTTATGGTCATGCATATCCTTGTTGAATGTCCTGACTTCCAGGACGTGCGTGAGCGTGTCTCTCTCTTACTTCCTGACTGTCCCCGCGATAGAATCCTTGGTGAATCAGATACCTTAACATTGTTTGCCTTAAACATTTTTGTTCTCATATTGGCATCCTTAGTAATATTTAGCGCCATTTGAATATTCTGCACATTTGATGGTGCTACATAGCCTTCCTGCCTTGGTGTCTTCCTCTGATAATTACTTAAAAACTAATCAGTTTTCACTTTATGTATCTTCACTTTTATAAATTTAGCCAACTTGTGTGTACATTTACTGTACTGTGCTGTATATGGGGGTTAAAACTGATCTACTTTATGAAGGAATTTGTAAAAATATGCTGTAATGAGCCAATAAAGACATTTTTCACACAAATGTCTTTCATAATAAAATTTAGCCAAAATAAGGATTGTTTTAATGTTTACAGTATTCAGTGAGCACAAATCTTTGCAGAATAACAGAAGTAAGGAATTATATTAAATAATATCTATAGGCACGACCCTATCAGGTTCAATTTCCATTCCAGCTGGCTTTCCTTAGATGCAATTATTATTATTAATTTACAAAAGTACAGTAGATCAAACTAATGTGATACATCAATGAGAAAATCAGCTGGAGCATTACACATGGGTCCATAGAATTACCCCAATCATCCCAAATCAGGCCAAAACTACCCAAAACGTATTAGCATTACGTAAGTAATGAAGAAATATGGTATATTTACTTACTATAATGTTGGTGCTACACGTAGAACATGATCAAACCTATTTTTTCTCTGAAATAATCTAATTTCATAACGAAATGAGACGTAAATATGTGAGAGGTGACGCCATAGGAAGTCGACGGTCCAAGCGACAATTGTGTGGAGCGACTTATCCAAGATATATGGTCGCCTGGAGAGTGTTTGCTGCCATAACAGCCTCCTGTACACAGTGATCCAGTCGTCGTATTTCATGGCTCAAATTGTCGCAAATTTAATTGGTAATATTAACAAGTAGAATGTGTATTTATAATAATATTTTTCATAAACAGCCACAAAATATTTAATATTTATTAAAAAAAGTGTCTGGAAGTTAAATCAATTCCACATGACAATAAATTTGTTATATAGATACTAGCGTTATTCGTTGGTATGCGTTCGCTATTTAAACTACTCCAGTCCTTTTCGTTCATAGAACACCGAACCCTACACGCTCTCTGATATATTGCTTAATTAACAAATATTCACAAATAAAGATTATATTTATATATGTTATCAGAAAGGCAGATATAAAATAGTTTGTGTTAATGCATCACAGAGATTATACCTTATTAGAGAGGAAAAATATTCATATTTTAAACAAGGCTTCTTGGCCGACGCTCTCCCTTTCGATGGGAACTATGACCTTTTGAAAATCAATGTTAATTGAATCTATATATTATAAAA